GGCACAGAGGGGTGGGGGCTTTCTTTGGCAGCAGGTTGGGGGGTGGGGGTGACACCCCTGTGCCAGCTGCAGGGTGCAGAGGGGTCAGGCAGAAGGTCTGGGGGGGGGACATGAAGACAAGGGGGATCCTGGGGGCTCCACCCACTGCCTCCTTCACCCCAGACCTGTCCTCTCTCACCAGGGCTTTCCACTACACCTATCAGTACTGTCACAAAATCGGCTTTGACAACTGCTACATCACCACCTATTTCCGCCAAATCGATGCCCGGCGTAGAGAGCAGGTTGGGCAGGGGGAAAGGGGTGCAGGGCAGCCCTGTCACCCCCAGTGGGGTGTCCCAGAGGCTGCACTGAGACACCACCTGCCCCTCACCCAGAACAAGCAGACGTTGCTGCCCCTGCTCAAGGAGGAGACCTCGTCTTTCATCTTCCCGTGCAAGCCGGCCTTGCAGCGGCCTGAGCGGCAGCACATGGTGAGGGGCTGGGGGTAATCGGGGGGGTCAGAGCTGGGCACAGCAGGCTGTGACAGCTCCCCTGCTCCCTGCAGGTGATGGAGCTGCTCAGGTGCATCCCTCTCCTGCTCTTCCTCCTCTTTGTCTGTGGCCTGGACCACTTCATCTTCACCATTCTCAGCGTCATCCAGCATCATTCCTTCATTGAGTATTCCTACCAAAGTGAGTTCACGGCCCTGGAGGGCTGGCCCATGATCCCACCATGCCCCTCAGCAATGCAGGGACCCCCTCAGCCCTCCCAGCCCCTCCTCAGCCTCCCTATCCTGCCATCCCACAGCCAGCCACCACTTGTCCGTGAACGTGATGGGCACATCCCTGATGGCACAGCTGCTGCGGGGCACCATCGGGGCCCTCAACACCTCCTACGACACCGAAGTGGAGACCTCCAACCTCGGTAAGCCCCTGCCAGGGATGGAACCCCCCCAGCCAGGGGCTGCCACAGGGGGCTCACAGAGGTGCCCTGTCCCCAGCCTGCCTGCCACAGCCCACGGCGATGACGAGGCAGCAGTATGTGACCACCTGCCTGCCGCTGGGCGCGCTGGCCCTGCTCTGCCTGGCCCAGGTGTACCCGTTCCGCCTGCGCCGCGCCATCGCCGCCTTCTACTTCCCCAAGGTGAGCAGCCCGAGGGCTGGGCACAGCCTGGCTGCTGGGGTGGGTTTTGCTGACCCTCATGGTCTTTTCTGGCACAGAGGGAGAAGACTCGAGTGCTGTTCCTGTACAACAAACTGCTGCGGCAGCGGAACAATTTCTTGTACCTGCAGCGCGGGCGCGTAGCCCGGCAAGCCCGGCAACCGCCCGAGCTGGTGAGTGGGGACAGGGACACGGGGTGCTGGGAGGGGTTGCCACTGTCCCCTGACCCCTGCAGCCCCACACGGGCCTGTCCTCGCTGCAGGGGACGCCGGTGCTGCGGTGGTGCTGCCGGCGCTGGCCCTGGCTGCGCCGCTTCGTGCGCCAGAGATGCACCTGGTGTGGGACCCCCGAGACCCCCCAGCACCAGCCCTGCCCCAACCCCGACTGCTTTGCCTTGTACTGCGAGTCCTGCTGGAGGGTGATGGGGGCCACCTGCATCGCCTGTGGCCCTGCAGACCCTGACCTCGTCCAGGAGAGCAGCGAGGATGAGGAGGAGCAGGGATATGCGGGATGAAGGTATTTGGGAATAAATGTTTCGACCGCCTGTTCATGGTGTGAAGTGGGGTCTGGGGGTGTGTCTGCCAGGGGGATGCTGAAGGTGGGGTCTGTGCTGCACTGGATGATGGAGGTGGAGCATCTGCTGCTTTTGGAAAGGTCAGTTTGGAGTTAATAGCCTTTAACATTCCAGTCTCTCACATCTGATCCCCACCCTGCTCCTGGGCACGGGGACAGGCACTCACAGGGTGCCCAGGCACACCCCAAGTAGAAGATGCTGGCCCTGAATTCCAGGCTGGGGCTGTTTATGGAGCTGTTCACCTAGAGCTGCAGTCCCCTGGGATCTTCTCCTTGCACCAGCAGTTCATGGCTGCAGGGATGCAGGGGGGTGGTGGCAGCAGAGCTGGAATCCCCAGGAATCACTGTGCCCCCCGAGGGTCAGGGCATGGGTCCCACACATCACCCTGGACCACTGGCAGAGGAACCTGAGGGGCACGGGCACTTTTGTCATGTAGGTGGCATATCCAGGTGCTGGAAATGATCTCTCAGTCATAGCTGGGGAGCAGAAGCTCTCAGCTGCCTGTGCAGCCCCAGCCCCACTGGCCCAGGTGCTGCCTGGGGTGCCCTGTGGGGCTGGCACTGGGGCAGCCCCCTCCCATGGCTGCCACCCCACTCCCATCCAGAGGAAAAGGGAGGAGGTTGTTTTCAATCTCTGCGCAGTAATGAGAGGGATAATAATGGTTATCCAGAGGTCTTTGCAAATAGAACAGTAGTTATTGGCAACAAGTGAACTGGCTTGGATTTGGCACTGAGTGAAACTTGCAAACAACATTGTTAAAGTAAGGAGGAAAGGAAAGGAAAGGAGAAAGGAAGAGAGAAAGGAAAAGAGAAAGGAAGAGAGAGAGAGAAAAGAAAAAGAGAAGAGAAGAGAAGAGAAGAGAAGAGAAGAGAAGAGAAGAGAAGAGAAGAGAAGAGAAGAGAAGAGAAGAGAAGAGAAGAGAAGAGAAGAGAAGAGAAGAGAAGAGAAGAGAAGAGAAGAGAAGAGAAGAGAAGAGAAGAGAAGAGAAGAGAAGAGAAGAGAAGAGAAGAGAAGAGAAGAGAAGAGAAGAGAAGAGAAGAGAAGAGAAGAGAAGAGAAAGAAAAGAAAAGAAAAGGAAAGGAAAGGAAAGGAGAAAGGAAGAGAGAAAGGAAAAGAGAAAGGAAGAGAGAGAGAGAAAAGAAAAAGAGAAGAGAAGAGAAGAGAAGAGAAAGAAAAGAAAAGAAAAGAAAAGAAAAGAAAAGAAAAGAAAAGAAAAGAAAAGAAAAGAAAAGAAAAGAAAAGAAAAGAAAAGAAAACTGCCCACCCTTGGATCCCGTGGTGTGCTCGCTGTCTCTGGCTGTGCTCCGCTGCTGGGATCACCCTTTTCCCCCGAACGGAGTCTTTTAAAGTCCCTGAGCTGTGGCCGGGCAGGTCCGAGATTTCACCACCACACCCATAAACTCTCCCTTTCCCTCGGGCAGAGATGCAGAGCCGGCCTCAGCGAAGCCCCTCCTGCCCTTCCCAGTGCCGAATGTTTGAGGCACTCCCATTTCATCTCCCAGTCCCACTCTGTTGTCTCCAGACAGGTTGCCCAGCCCTGCTCTCTGCACAGAGCAGTAAATAAATCAAATACCTCGCCCTGTGGTGAAAGAACCTGTTCTGGGACAACACCACCCCCCCGTGGCTCGGAGCCTTTAAATCTTCCCGGGAATTCTTCCAGCTTGGTGAACAGAAGGAAGAGAAGAGATAGAAGAGATGAGATAGAAGAGATGAGATAGAAGAGAGTGAATGAGGAATTCTACAATGAGCAGCAGCAAAGCCAGTCCTTATGAATATAAATCCCACTGACAACATCACTCCTGTTTGCATCAGCCATTTCCCCACCCTGGGAGTCCCAGGGGATACAACAGCAGGACAATTCATGGTTCAGGACTCCATCCACCAAACCAACCCATTACCAGAACAATCCCAAGGTTTGCTCAGCATTTTTGTTCACCTTGGCTTAGGCTTCTTCCGTGGAAGAAGCAGCAGCAGCGTTGTGGACACAGCATTCCCCACTGGTGGAGTTTAATATTCCACATATCCCTCGTTCCTTTAATCACAGTGTTTCTAACTCTGGTGCATTCTGCAGTGTCATCTTCACAGCCTGCTGAAGCACGGGTTTCATTCTCCAGGAGCACATCTAGTCCTGTTGCTCACAGCGTGTGCTTGCCAAGCTGAATTTCCCCCAGCCTGTTGGTGTCTCATTATTGCACTTCTGGCAGAGAAACCTGCTCCAAACCCCAGGGCCAAAGTCATTCTGAAGGCAGAGTCACAGAATCATGAAATCATGGGATGGTTTGGGTTGGAAGGGACCTTAAAGCTCATCTCATTCCACCCCCTACCATGGCAGGGGGTTCTTCTGCTAGCCAAGGTTGTTCCAAGCTCTGTCCAACCTGACCTTGGACATTTCCAGGGATGGGGCAGCCACAGCTGCTCTGGGCAACCCATGCCAGGGCTTCACCACCCTCACAGGGAAGAATTTCTAACCTAACCCTGCTCTCTCTCAGCTTGAAGCCTTTCCTCCTTGTCCTGTCACTCCAGTTCCCGATGAACCCTGGTCGGGGTTGGGTGTGGGACAATGCAGGTCCCTGCTCCACTGCTGCTCCCTGGCAGGCCCAGCTGGGCTGTGCTGGGATTGTTCTCCTTCCCAGGGTATGGGACAGCCTTTGCTGGGCTTTCTGGGACCCCTGCTCCCTCCCAAGGTGCCCAGAACTTTCCACGGCATCGCTGCTCCTTCCCAGTGGCCACAGTGGGATCTGACGGAGTTTCCACAGAGCAGCGTGGACCCTCCCAGGAGCACCACGGCTTCTGCTGGGCTCTGCCCGTGTCCACACAAGCCCCTGCTCTGTTCTGGCTCAGCTGCAGATCTCCCCACGCTCTGCCCAGCCCACAGGAGCACCTGCTCCCCCCAAAATGCTCAGTGGGCTCCATCAGCAGAGCTCTGGGGGCTCTGCCAGCCTTTCTGCAGGCCAAACTTCTTCCTCCTGGGGCACTTCAGGGCTTCTCCCATGCCTGGGCTTCCTACAGGCCCACAGCTGAGCCCACCCTGACTCCTGGCGCCATCAGCCTTTCCCTGTTCAATGGGTACTGCCATACTTTTACCCAAAAGCTTTTGTGTTCCTACCTCCTGCACACCCTGGAGCAAGCAAGGAGCTGGGGGGACCCCACAGTGAGCCTGGGGACCCCACCAGTCTCCCCCTTCCTCCCACCACGGTGCCAGAGCCGTAGGGTTCCCTGGCACAGACAGTGCCACGCTGAACATCCAATACCAAACACCAAATCCACACCGAACACCAAATCCACACCAAACACCCTTTATTCACCACCCGCTGGGACAGCAACAACAGTCCCAGGGTACTCCAGCCCCCTCAGGGACCCTGTGTCCCCTCGTGGCTGGTCCCTCAGTGGTCCTTGAGATCCCTCAGTGGTCCCTGAAATGCCTCAGTGGTCCCTGAAGTCCCTCCGTGATCCTTGAGGTCCCTCAGTGGTCCCTGAAGTCCCTCAGTAATCCTTGAGGTCCCTCAGTGATCCTTGAGGTCCCTCAGTGGTCCTTGAGGTCCCTCAGTGATCCTTGAGGTCCCTCAATGGTCCCTGAGGTCCCTCAGTGGTTCCTGAGGTCCCTCAGTGGTCCTTGAGGTCCCTCAGTGATCCTTGAGGTCCCTCAATGGTCTCTGAGGTCCCTCAATGGTCCCTGAGGTCCCTCAGCGGTCCTTGATGTCCCTCAGCGGTCCTTCCTGCGCAGCGGTGGGGACGGGGGGTAGTGGCGGGCAGGTGGCACGTCGTAGTGACTGGGGATGTGGCTGTTCTTGGGGGAGTCGTAGTGGCTGGGGGGGGCTCTGCTGGGGGGGCCTTCGAGCCCTTCAGGACAACTCTCTGTGGGGACAAGAGAAGGCTGCAAGGGGACGTGTTTCCCCCAGGGTCATGAAGGCCCCGTCACCGATGTCCCCCTGGGGACAGACAGCCGCTGTCCCCCCCAGGGCTGTCACCAAAGCTGTCTCCTTCCTGGGGCTATGCACTCCCCAGCACTGGGGTTGTGACCCCACTGACCAGGGCCACCAGGGCCACCAGGGCCACCGGGGCCACCAGGGCATGGGATGCCCAGCCGTACCGTCCTGTGGTGGCTCCTCAAGGAGCCCGATCTCGGCGTAGGACATCTCCCGCTGCACAGGGGATTTCATCTCCATGTAGCTGCCCTCGTGGGCCTTGGCCATGGCAGGGAGGGGATGCCCAGCCGTACCATCCTGTGGTGGCTCCTCAAGGAGCCCGATCTCGGCGTAGGACATCTCCCGCTGCACAGGGGATTTCATCTCCATGTAGCTGCCCTCGTGGGCCTTGGCCATGGCAGGGGGCAGCTCCTTGATGGTGGCGTAGGGGTTCTCGCTGGCCAGGGAGCTGGCGCTGGCCCTCAGCCCCTCCCAGGGGTGCTCTGGGGGTGGCAGGAGCACAGGGAGAAGGAACAGCTGTGTCTCAGGCAAGTCCCAGCCCCATCCCTTTCCTACCCCATCCCTGTCCCTTCCTCATCCCCACCCTAATCCAGTCCTGTTCCAGCCCATTCCCAACCCATCCCTGCCTCTTCACCATCCCAGCCACGTCACTTCCCCATCCCAACCCATCCCTGTCCCTTCCCAATCCCAGCAAATTCTGTCACTTCCCCATCCCATCCCATCCCATCCCAATCCCATCCTCATCCCTAACCCAACCCAACCCTTTTCCCAAACCTTTTCCCATCCCTGTCCCTTCCCCATCCCCATCCCATCCCATCCCATCCCATCCCATCCCATCCCATCCCCATTCCAACCCATCCCTGTCCCTTCCACAACCCAGCAAATTCTGTGACTTCCACATCCCATCCCAATCCCAATCCCATCCACATCCCTAATCCAACCCTTTTCCCATCCCTGTCCCTTCCCTATCCCCATCCCCATCCTAATCCAGTCCTGTTCCAGCCCATCCCCAAACCATCCCATCCCATCCCATCCCATCCCATCCCATCCCATCCCATCCCATCCCCATCCCCATCCCCATCCCTAACCCAACCCTTTTCCCAACCCTTTTCCCATCCCTATCCCTTCCCCATCCCCATCCTCATCCAGTCCTGTTCCATCCCATCCCATCCCATCCCATCCCCATCGCCATCCCCATCCCATCCCATCCTATCCCATCCCATCCCTAACCCAACCCTTTTCCCAACCCTTTTCCCATCCCTATCCCTTCCCCATCCCCATCCTCATCCAGTCCTGTTCCAAACCATCCCATCCCATCCCATCCCATCCCAACCCAACCCCAAACATTTTCCCCCCACCCCAATCCCAATCCCTATTCCCACCCCACCCCAAACATTTTCCCATACCTGCCTCAGGCCCAGTTTATCCCTTCCCCATCCCATCCCTGTCTCTTCCCTTTCTCCACCCCACTCCTACCTTTGCTGTCACCCTTCCTCAGGCCATGGCTGTAGGTGTAGCTCCTGTCCAGCTGCCTCCCTGTTGAGAGGGCAGATTTGGGGTCCCCTCTGCTTCATCTTCCCCCCAGCATGAAGGTTCTCCAGCCCCTTCCCAGGGGATCCTCAGCAGGGGGGGACTCAAGTGCCCACCCCACTCTGGATCTGCCCCTCCACCTCCTCCTTACCCCTGGTGCCCAGGGCTGATGCCCCGAGGTGTTTCCAGTCAGGAGGCAGCGTGGCATTGCCTTCGGGGCTGTAGGGTCTCTCCATGCCAGGGAAGAGCTGGGTGCCAGGCACCTGGAGCCCAAAAAAGGGGACAGGTTGGCCTCGAAGGTGGTGGCAGTGGTGGCCCACGCTGCCCTGTGCCACAGCCTGCCATACCTTGAGGGAGCTGGCTCTGTCCTGGGGGGCTGGCAGCGGGCACTGGGACAGCGTGTGGTAGCTGGGGTTGGAGTAGTAGTGGGCATGGTGGCTCGGGGGTACATCTGGAGGGACACAAGCGGTGCCTGAGGTGACAGCCTGGTGCCAGAGGGCCACCAGGGCTGGGGCCACACCCCCACCACGCTGCACTGACCTGGCACCATGTAGTCTGAGGTGTCCGTCTGTCCTGCTCGGTAGGCCACGGCCAGGTGCCGCCGCTCCTTGTCCTTCTGCCAGTGGTGCCAGCACAGGGTTGTGGCCACCACAGCCACCAGCAGCACCACCAGGGCTACCAGGCTCAGCATCATGCCCAGGGGGCTGTAGGCTGCAGGGAGGGCTGGCTCGATGGTGTAGGGCAGGTCAGGATTCCCTGGTGGGGAGGGGAGGAGTGTCAGTCCTTAGGGTGGGGGAGGGACCCTGGGGACCTCCCGCCCTACCCCCACTCACCAGCCTCACAGCGGGGCCCAGTCGTGCCTGGGGCGCAGGGACACGTCCCGTTGGTGGGGTCACAGGTGGCGTTGTGGGGACAGTGGCAGAGCTGGTCACACTGGAGCCCAAAGGTCCCGGGGGCACAGGCTGGGGACACAGTGGTACCCTACAGCTCCATACTGGGACCAGAAGGTGGTCCAATAGCTCCATACTGGGACCACAAGGTGGTCCAATAGCTCCATACTGGGACCAGAAGGCGGTCCAATAGCCCCATACTGGGACCAGAAGGTGGTCCAATAGCTCCATACTGGGACCAGTGAGGCACAAGGTGGTCCAATAGCTCCATACTGGGACCAGAAGGCGGTCCAATAGCTCCATACTGGGACCACAAGGTGGTCCAATAGCTCCATACTGGGACCACAAGGTGCTCCAATAGCTCCATACTGGGACCACAAGGTGCTCCAATAGCCTCATACTGGGACCACAAGGTGGTCCAACAGCTCCACACTGGGACCAGCCAGTCACAAAGCGGTCCAATAGTTCCATACTGGGACCACAAGGTGCTCCAATAGCTCCATACTGGGACCAGCCAGCCACAAGGTGGCCAGGACGATGGAGGTCCACAGGGGTCTGTATGTACTGCCCAGGCCAGAACCACGTAGGAGTCACCCAGGTGGCCACGGGCAGTTCTCTCTTGCTCCCCCCATCTGAACCAAGGGCACCTTGCTCCCTGCTCCCCCTGACCCCCACTCACGCTGGGAGCAGCGGGGGCCGCGCCAGCCCGGGCTGCAGAGGCAGGAGCCGTTGCTGGGGTGGCAGGAGGAGCCGTTGGCACAGGAGCAGCTCAGGGAGCAGCGTTTGCCGTAGCGGCCGGCCGGACAGGCTGGGGACAGAGGAACGAGTTTGGCCTTGATCCCGAAGGATCAGGAGCAAGCTGGACTTTTGGGGGGTGCTGACTCACGGCGCTGGCAGCTGGGGCCGCGGTAGCCCGGGGTGCAGGTGCAGGATCCGTCCTGGGGGGAGCAGGAGGCTCCGTTGCGGCAGGAGCAGGACATGTGGCAACCCCGGCCCCAGGAGCCCTGGGGACAGCCCTGCTTGCACTGCCGCCCTGCAGGGAGGGTGAGAGGTGAAGCTCGTGGCTGAGGGCACTCTGGGGTCCCCCCAGCGCCTGGTGTCCCCTTTACCTGTCCAGCCGGGCAGGCAGTGGCACTCTCCTGTCACGGGGTCACAGCTGTCGGCGTGGGCGCAGACGCAGCGCTCCCCACAGCCCGCCCCAAACGTCCCGTTCTGGAGCACGGCGACAGGCTGGGAGTCAGCACAGGCTGCTGGCACCAAAGCCCGGTGCCAGCAGCACCAGCACAGCCAGCAGGACTCACCGGGCAGGGCTGCAGGCAGTGAGGGCCCTGCCAGCCCGGGGGGCAGTGGCAGGTCCCACTCTGGGGGTCGCAGGACCCCCCATGGGCACAGTCACAGCTCCGGTTGCAGCCGGGACCCCAAGTACCAGCAGGACACGGCAGCGAGCAGTCAGGTCCGTGCCAGCCTGTGAGATGGGATGAGGGGACAGTGTGGGGATGGGGACAGGGACAGGGACCCCCCCAGGACCCGGTGTGCACCCACCTTCCTTGCAGAAGCAGGAGCCGTCGAGCGGGGAGCAGGCGAGGGCGTGCTGGCAGGAGCAGTGGCCTGAGCAGTTCAGGCCAAAGGTGTTGGGGGGACACAGGGAGGAGCAGTGCTCGTCCTGGGTGCGGGGACCAAGAATTCAGGACAGATGGGACCCCTGCCCAGGGCTGGGGAAAGCACCCACGTGTCTGGGGGTAACCTGGTGCTGTAGGGAAAGTGGACAACCCCAAAATCTCCATTCTCCCATGGGAACCCCAAGCTCTCCCCAGCGTTGCCCAGATCTCCAAATTGCCCCCCAAAGATGCCCCCAAAGGATGCCCAGATCCTGAAACTGGCCTCAGAGATAACCAGACCCCCAAGCCATCCCTGAGGATGCCCAGACTCCCATATCTCTCCCAGGGATGCCCAGATTCCCATGCTTCCCCCAGGGATGCCCAGATCCCCCTGTTTCCCCCAGGCATGCCCAGACCCTGAAACTGCCCTCAGAGATAACCAGACCTCCAACCCATCCCAGAGGATGTTCAGACTCCCCTGATTCCCCCAGGGATGCCAAGACTCCCCTGTTTCCCTGAGGTTGCCCAGACCCCCCTGTTTCCCCCAGGGATGCCCAGACCCCCCTGTTTCCCCCATGGATGCCCAGTCCCCGTTTCCCCCAGGTATGCCCAGACCCCATGCTTGCCCACCCTCCAAACCATCCAGACACCCCCATTGCCCCTAGAACTATCCAGAGCCCCATGATCCCTCCAGCACCACCCAGACCCCCTGTCCCCCACGCCCCTCACCGTGTAGCCGGGGGCGCAGTGGCAGTGGCCTGTGGTCCCATCACAGACCCCCCCGTGGAGGCAGAGGCAGCTCTGCAGGCACCCAGGCCCGAAGTAGCCGGGGGGGCAACTCTCATTGCAGTAGAGCCCAGCCCAGCCCGGGAGGCAAAGGCACTCCCCGAGCATCGGGTGGCAGCTGGGGGTGCACACTCAGAACCCCCGTGCTCCCAGTACAGGGCACTGGTGGTGCTGGGGAGGGGCTTTGCAAACGGGGGAGCACAAAACTCCTGCCCCAGGAGGGGATTAAAGGGTTCCTGGTCATGTAGCCAGCACCAGGGTGTGGGGGCATCGTGGGGGGAGGAAGGAGGGGAGGAGGAGGTTGGTGCAGAGGGAGGTGAGGGTGGTGGGAGGAGCCAGGGTGGGATGGGGATGCTGGGGTGGGATGGGGATGCTGGGGTGGGATGGGGGATGTCAGGGTGGGATTGGGGTTCTTGGGGTGGGATGGGGATGCCAGGGTGGGATGGGAATGCCGGCATGGAATAGGGGTACCAGGGTGGGATGGGAATGGTGGGGTATGATGGGGATGCCGGGGTGGGCTGGGAATGCCAGGATGGGATGGGGATCCCAGGTGTGATGGAGATCCCAGGGTGGGCTGGGAATGCCAGGATGGGCTGGGATGCCAGGATGGGCTGGGATGCCAGGGTGGGGTGGGCTGGGAATGCCAGGATGAGATGGGGATCCCAGGGTGTGATGGAGATCCCAGGGTGGGCTGGGAATGCCAGGATGGGCTGGGATGCCAGGATGGGCTGGGATGCCAGGGTGTGATGGAGATCCCAGGGTGGGCTGGGAATGCCAGGGTGGGCTGGGGATGCCAGGGTGGGCTGGGATGCCAGGGTGGGCTGGCCGCAGTACCTCAGGCTGTGCTGGGGGTGGCAGAGGCAGCGGCTCTCGCAGTGCAGCCCGTAGAGGCCGGGCAGGCAGTGCCGCTCCTCGCAGCGGCTGCCCTGGAAGCCGGCCTGGCACAGGCAGCCCCCGTCCACGTGGAAGCACTGGCCCCCGTTGGCACAGTCACAGCTCTCCCGGCAGTCCTGCCCGTAGCGCCCCACTGGGCACCTCTCCTGGCACCTGCGTGGGGGGCACAGGAGGTGACACAGCCCCACCGAGAGCTGGGGTGCCCCTGGGATCCCCCTGGCCCTGAGCTGAGGCCGTCCAGCTCATTGCATGCCACACGGGGGGAGCTGGGGGTGCCTGGCCTTCATGGAGACCTGGCAGCAGTGGGTTGTGGTGGCCTTGTCCCCGTGTGCCACATCCCCCTGCCATCCGTGTGCCCTGTCCCTTGATGCCCCTCCCTGTGCACCCCCATCTCCATCTGCTCCCAGACCGTGCACCCCCACCCCAAAAATGCCCTGTCCCCAAGTGTCCCCTCCCCCTGCCCCCATCCCCTTGG